AGATACATGGCTCAGTTTTTTATAAAAATCCTACTGAATTAATCCAAAAGAACAATGCAAGATATTGTTTTATTTGTCTGGCAAGCAATCATTGGCTCAGATCCTTTTATCTGGTTATGCTGGCATAGCACCTTTGCGTAACCTTTGGAGGTGAATTTCCCCAAGAAATTACAGGAGACATTATCAGTTGCATACAAGTGTTGTATGGCTCAGCTTGCCAGTAGGTCTGGGTTTGTCACAACATTATCAGTTGCATCTAAGTGTTGTATGGCTCAACTTACAACTGATAATGTCCACAGTGATTTCTCAACTAGGTGCAATTTGCATCTAAAAGTTTATATCATTTGTAAAGCTATGCAAGAGGATTTTGGCCATTGTGTTTTAAGCTTTTTTAAAAAAAACAATGTTTATGTTTAGTTTATCTCCTATTTGGTCATCAGAATGCCTGATCTCTGGTATGCACAACATACTTAATTAATGGTAATTTATTTTTATATTTAACAGAATTTGTACACTATAGAGTGGTGCCTCGCTTAATGACAATAATGCATTCCAGGAAAATCGCCATTAAGTGAAAACATCGTAATGCGGAAAAAAACCAATTGAAATGCATTGAAACCCCTTCAGTGGTTCCATTGGGGTCAAAACTCACAGTCCAGCGAAGATCCTCCATAGGGGAGCCATTTTTGCTGCCTGTCTTGCGAGGAATCCGTCCCAGAAAACAGTGGGGAGCCAATTTGTTTACCCGGTGGCCATTTTGAAATTACCGATCAGCTGTTTAAAAAACATCATTTTGTGAACAATCGGTTCCTGAAGCACGGAACCGATCATTGCAAGGTGAAAAAAACCCATTTAGACCATCGTTTTGCGATTGCAATTGCGATTGCAAAAAGATCGTTGTAATGCAGTTTTGTCATAATGTGGGGCAGTCGTAAAGCGAGGCACGACTGTAATACATCATTGACCCAAAGGAAAGCAACTATGAGACAGCTGTGGAGAAATCTTATTTTCAGTTCTGCTGATAATGACTTCAAGTCACTGTGAAGCATATTTATCTGGTGGTAAAGGAATACAAAGATCTTCATGACCTTTTTTTTTTCATCTGGAGGGGTGAAATAGCTGCTTTTTATACAGTGTTGCTTATTCGTCCAAGTAGTAGATAGGTTTAACCATTTGCTGAGAGCCTGTGAAAGAAAACCCAGCTTACTGCTTTTTCCATGCCCAGAGTTCTCATAGTCAACTTTCTTAATCAAAATCCAATTACAAATGAAGGTGCCTTTCTAAACAATTTGCTGCAGCTGGATGAAATCTCCAAAAGTAAGATTAGCAAAGTGTCAGCATAAATTTGAGATCTTTTTCTGCAGGAACAGCATTACTTTTCAGTGGCGTTTAGGTAACTTTTCATCTCTCTCCAGGTGATTGTAACTGCACTGACTTTATTGTAAGAAATTATAAAGTTAGAATTCATGTATTAGGTGCTGTTTGGAGTCCCCCTCAATTAGATTTGTCATGAAAAACAGACTGTTGGTCAGTGCAAATCATTTCTGATTACAGACTATTTAAAACCAAAGTAATTAAATTATCCCATGGAAAAATCACAAGGTGGGAGTGAGGAACTGCCTCCTGCTGCTGTTATTTTACTTTGTCGCAAGAGAATACTGTTCATACAGGCCCAAACCCTATCTGGCTGAGGCACATTAAGTGGGATGATTTCAGTGACTACTTCCAAGTTGCAGATCTCCCTTTCTGGCAGGGACAATTGGTGACTCCAGGTTTCCTCAATGGTGAACTCACTCCAGATTTTCAACTGAACTGCACAGGAGCTTTTCAGAGTGCTGATCCTATCCCCCCCTGAAAAGTCAACATCTTGGATATCTCATATATTTTTTCAGACTAAAACCTGGAGCAGATTCACTGCCTCTGCAAAACAAGAATTGCCAGCTGTCCCTGCTTCCCTCCATCACCAACAGGAAGATACTATTTTTTTTTTGCCAGGGGCAAAGGACTGTCTAGTGAAAAGAGAAGGCCTTTGACAGACTGGTGCCATGCTGGTTTTATTTAATAGATTTTTTTTCTAATTGAATATAGTTTCAATAGTATAACTAGTTTATTGCGTTTTGATGTTGTAATGTTTTGTTTTTAGCTGTACCTATGTTAAATTTCCACCTAAACTGTCTTGATACCCTGTTTGGTGGTAAAGGCAGAATATACGTCAATTAATGACTGCAATTTGGTGGAAGAATTTCACATCAGTGTGTCGATGTCCAGTTCAGGAAACAGTTTGAAAATATTTATTTCCTATGCGATCTTTTTGTATTGTGACTTGAAGCCAATTCATGAATCTATTCTGTTATTATAAGGAATGATGAAACATTTATAAGATTTGGTATGAGATGATGAGCCTGGGATACCTGGAGCAATGCATTGCCTGAGAACCTGTTGCTTAACCTAGTGAGTTACAGTGGGAACAGGCCTATTTGAATCAGTGAAGCTTACAGTGAAGTTAGCTCACCAAATCACCACTGATCCAATGGGCCTACTCTAGGGGGCGCCTGCTGCACTGAAGAACAGGATTTCAGCCATTATCAGCCCTTGAAACTGAGTGACAAATGCTGCTTTTTCTGTGCATGAGAATATCAGAAAGGGTTAAAAATCAGCCTTACACATTCCAAAGTGTATATTTTCCTCTGATGAATGACTGTGAATGAAATGGAGAAGTCTAGCTTCTGACACAGAAAAAAATGTACAGTTTTAAGGATTCATAAACCATTTTGGAATAAAACAACATACAGTATGAAGATTGCAGTCTGGTAAGCCTGAAATCACAGGGGTGAAATTCTATTCCAAAATACTGAAATACTGGACAACACCAGCAATCATTACGTCAGACTGCACAGGGAAGCCATTGAAATCCACAAGCACCAGCAAAACTTCAACAGAAAAGAGGAAAGTGTGAAGCTCAACAAAACTTGGCTCCCAGCTCTCAAAAATGCAGCATGCAAAAGGTCAACGAACTCGACCCAGCCACAAGGACAAGGGATCACTACACACAAAAGATCAGCTAATGACACCCATCAACCACAGGAACAGATAATCTCCTTAGCACAACAATACACCCACAACAATACACTCTAATCACCCATCTACCAAAAAAAAAAAAAAGAAAAAAAGAAAAGACAAAGGCCTATCTCACAGCCATAAATACAGCACTCCCAAAGCCAACTACACCAGAGCATAGAGTGCTGACCTCTGAAGATGCCGGCCACAGAGACTGGCGAAACATTAGGAAAAACAACCTTCAGAACACGGCCAAAGAGCCCGAAAAACCCACAACAACCATCCTTTACTTATAACTTGTCAACATTAGCTGCATTTATAGGTTAGTGGATGTGACTTTAAAATTGTGCTGCTCTTGATACGTTTCAGGGCTATTCTTTAAATGCAGCAAAAGAGATACTGCTGAACATTGCATATAGCTTAGCAGAGTCTGTGACATGCTCCTCATCCAATTAATAATGAATGTTGTAATCATTCAGTTTAAAATGTCATTCAGTTCCACTGATCAGCATTTTTTTGCTTATCTATTTGCAGACTGTCAAATCACCATACATGCCGGAATACTGTAGTATATTCAATTAGTCTTTGCTCTCTTGAAATAACATTTGCAGACCAAAAGACAAGAATTTTTAGCCCTCCCAGCATGTTAAATCTAACTTTATAAGAATCTGCAGAATTTTAACTTATAAAAGTGAGTTGAGACCTCTAATGATACCACTTCACTTTCTATTAGACATGCAGCTTGTCTTACAAAGATGAAAGCTCCTTAAGTCGCAGACATCAGAAATATTAATAAATGATGAGAACATATGATTAGACGGCTTTATTTATTTTTAATATAATAGTGCTTGGAGCTTGGCATAGATGATTCCAGAGATCGGTATGTTTTTGTACCCTCCTTGCATCTAAACTTACACAATATCATCTAAAGTTCATAGAAGTGGAAAGGCACTACTTAATAAGAATATTGTATTATATTACTGTATTGATATTTATATTGGATTCAGTACACATCCTGAAGGAAGTCCTAGAATGATATATACTTTCTTACTGAAGCCTGAGTAGCAGAAACATGTTTTTTTTTTAAAAAAAAACTTTAGGTACAGAATGGTGTCATGCTTTGCTCAAAAATAAATTACATCTGGTCAAATGGCTAAAAGAGTTTAAGTGGGTTGCTGGTTTGCTGACCCATTCTCCTTCCTCAACTGCCCTGGAGGTCTACCAGGAAGACAGCATCCTGTCATGGAAGAGATCTGAGTTGCAGTATAGTAATTAATCTCAGCCTATCTGTGTTGCTGAACCTCCGTGAGCAGTGAGGAGACTCTGCCCTGGCTCTGTGGGCAAAAAAAGGAATATCTTGTTATTCTCTAATGGCTAGCCCTGACTTTTTATATGGAATGGCATTTATACTCTCCACAGGGACCTGAAATATGCCCTCCTTACCTTTCAACTTGCTATGATGTGAGCAAGTTCAAAGTTATCCAAGGATAACAGCAGGGATGGTAGACATTTAGCAGAGGTCAGTCGTAAAGGTGTTCTGTACAATTAACTAATCATTACTGGATCTCTGAGTCAAAGGGAGGTTAATATGGTTCATGTAAGGTTGGGGTGTGTGTGGAACCGACATGTGGGCAGGCCTGAGAACTAACTGAGAAGACCATATTTTCTATTCCCCATACAAGCCTCCCTTTCTCTTCCCTGCTATCTCTCTCCCATGCACAAACACACTTTTTCAACTGACTTTATTTGAAAAGGATCATACTTTCATTCCTATCTCCCAGTTACCTTAAACTTTACAGCATTTTGTTTTCTTTTCTCTTGTTTTGTTTTCCTTCAGGCGTATATTTCTTTAGATCGTTTCTCAGAGTGGCAGACAATCTCAAGGAGCACCAGGAGCTGCAGTCCTCAATCTCATTGTAATATTTCCTTTTGTATCTCTACAGATTAAACATTGGATAACACTTAAAAGAAGCAGCATTCTAATCACTACATATTGGAGTTGGCCCTCCTTTGACCCCAGAAACTGAAAATGAGGTTGCTATGGGAACTGCTGGTGCTGCAATCATTCATGTTGTGCCTTGCAGGTAAAGTGTCATTTTAAAAACTTTTGTTCCCCTTTCTTTCTGATTTTTAAATGCCACTGTAATATCCATTAATTGAGAAGGGCACTGTGCTTCATATGTCAGTGATACAGCAGCAAATAAAGCTGTTCTTGACCTGCATTTAACAAAAATGTCTGCATAGAGCAAAGGTGAACAAAGGGTAGATCTTGATCTTCTGCTAGTAGATCTCCAGATGATTGGCATTAGACCAGCAAAGGACATTTGAATCTTAGTTCTTTAATAACAGCAATGTCAAAATCACTCCCCTCTGACCATAAATTATGTTGCTGAAATGAAGCAAGCATAGTAAGTAATCAGAAGTGGATTCTTGTCTTGTCTAGAGGATGGGGAATTTTGTTTAGTTCGGTACTGAAAGAAAAATCATGGGTCAGAGTATTTTAGTTTTCAGTGTATGTCTATTGCATTGGACTTAGCCTGGTGGACCCTTAGAGTTGCAGCAAAAATGAAGGTGATCCCAGAAAGTCTGCTAACCGTTACTAGACTATGTTGATGCATTTTACTTTCTCTTTTATTAAAATTTGTACATCCATAATCCAGCTATTTCACACCATTGTGTCCTCAATCAATTTTATTCTTGAGTGGTTTGTTGACAATATCCATTGTTCTGTTTCTTGCAAATTGTTCAGTGTACAATTAAACTGAATCTTGAGATGGCGAGGCTTTCCCCTGCATGATGAGTGGTACAGCTAAGCATTAAATGTACTTTATAAGGCACTGAAACCATATGAATGTAGGACTGTTATCCTGGTATCACTGGCTTTTGTGAGCAGGGACTTCATTGTTGCCTTGGGCTATTGTTTCCCTTCTCCTATGAATGTTTCTTTATATTCATCTGCATTCTAAGGAGCAATTCTGCTCAGTGAGTTTGCACTTCAGATACTTTGATTTCTCTAGATATCAAATGCATATGATGATCTACTAATTTAGATTCTTGAATGTGCATTAAGAAAAATCTGCTAATTTTGTTAGCAGCAAACCAAAGGCTGTGCTGGATGGATGATTAAATTGTAGTGAAAAAAACTCGGAAGTAACTTCTCTAAGATATGGTGTGTTGCCACTTTCCAGTACCCAGTCTACCCTATTTCCTTTGTTAACATAGTTCCTCAGTTAATTAAGATGTGGTTATTAATATTACCAACCACTCTGTTCCTAGGATTCTCTCCTCCTTATTTGCATAATTTAACTTTTATTTTATGCATTCTGGGCTAATTTATTCTCACACTATCCTATGAGTTGATGAAGCTAAAAACTCTAAGCCTATTGTCTTTTAAAATAGAATATGCTTATATATGATGAGATATGCATTTCCATTTTTTAGTTGTAAACATCCAGGATTCAAAATGTTAGCCACCCAGTCGCTAATTTTCTCATAAATAGAAGAAAATAGCTTCCTCTACATCATACTCTGTTGGAGTAAAAGGAGATAGTGATTTTCATTCATATACATAAAAAGCAGGAAAATTATCTGTAAGTTTGTCAACTATTCAAGGGGATGGCATATTAACTTTACAGCTGCTTTACATTTTATAGCAGCTGTACAGTTTTGCTATTGACTTTAAATGAGCCCCAGTTACTCCACAAACTCATTTCTGTCCCCTTTCCAGGATCTCTCCTGCATACCCTTGTACTATTTGGTCAGTGCTCAGTGCCCAATGAGCAAAGCAATCCTTGCTGGACTTTGAAAAAAAAATCTTCTGCTGAGATTGCTTACCTTTTCCCCTTGAATGTTGGAACATCTCATGTAGATGTGGAGCTGAGACCTTATGGGATGGCAAGATCTAGATTAGAACAAAACAAAGTGTAAGTAGAAAGGGGTCAGAGGAAGCTGATGGCAAGCAGCTGTCATGAACAGCAGCAAAGATAACATAAAAATATATCAAGAAGTCATGCACAAATGAGAATGTCACTGCATTACACCTTGCCTCCTTGCCTCTATCTCAGCAGTTTGCAAAAATGAGAAAGTGTGTTTGCTGTTCTGTTTATCCAACCCATTTCTAAGTAGCATCTAGCTCTCACACGGATGTTCTCTGCAATATATTTACTTGTTTCCTGTGTATCTGTTTTTTTCTCTGAGGCACATCACAGAGTGTTCCTTTGCTAAAATTCCTTACTTGTCCTCCTGAATTTAAAATATGTTTTGTTTGGTAACAGGCCACTTTCTAAGCTGTTTTAGCAGAAGTCTTAGGAAACAAATACTGGTATGATTCATTACTTTGAAGTCATGCTGCCTGTTCTGTTGTCTGTGACATCAGATATATTTGTTTGGACCATCTGAGGCTATTCTGATATAATCTTTTGAGATACACAGTGAGTTGCAAATAAGTTATGTTAAGTTATCCTTTGGTAGCTTACCATAATTCAGTCTCTCAGTTCTTATTTTATCCATTTACTTGCAACAAAATCATATACATGCCTAGATAGCTCTTAAATCCCATAGATTTCAGCCTGAAATGTTGATTCAGGGATGAAATTAAATGAAAGAATGATTTATTTGAATGACAGGTTTTTTAGAACCAGAAACCCATACTACCTGGTTTACTTGTACTTTTGTAATGTTTTTTATGCAACGTTTCTTGTGTCCTCATGCTTTGAAAGGCAGATTCTCAGGTGTTTTTTTTCCCCAACCAATACATTCTTTCACTTATCCTGAATGATCAACTGTAGCAATCTGTGCTTTATGTTCTTCACTGAACTATCCTAATTTTCTGCATTGTATGTGCTTTGTGATTCCTCGTTTTGATCAGTATATGCATTTTCCAAAAATGTTAGAGTCCTAACAGCATTTTAGTATATATTATATATTAGTCTATGTCAAGGAAAATAGTGATTATCAAAATGCTAATGTATTATTTTTATTTATTTATTGTTCCCTTGACGTTCCCTCTCCAGTATTATGCAATGTAAGTATTATTTTACCCTGCTGGAATGTGACACAGTCCTGTCACAAAGAGGTTACAGAGCAGGCAAAGAGCAGGGGAAGCAAAGTCATCATACCAGCAGTGAGAAATATGACAGCTGTAAGCGTAATGTATAGTCTATGCTTGGTTTCAGTTCAGAGAGGTGAGATGGAAAATTGTTCAGGGTGAGCTGCTAAATGGATAGATTTAAGCTCAAGCACTGAAGGAAGAAGAGTAATGCTGGGGAACTCTGGCAGGTGGGTTGAGGATGAGGTGAAGGGATTGGCTTCTGACTTCAACATCCTTCAAAATCAGCAAATGCCAGAAGACATTCATCAAGAAAACTGGGATAGGGAGGTATATTCCTGTAATAAGAGACGGCCAATAGTGTGTTCTTATTTGAAACTGATTCAGTTTTTTCACAAATTTTATGGTTCCATACAGTGTTACACAACACACAGTGTAATGCTTTCATTTCATTTCGTTTCGTTTCGTTTTATTGTTAATAGAAAGGAACTGCGGAGTTTGAAACCACAGTTGTCTTTAAAATATTTTTATTTTGCTTGAATCCTGTAGAGAAACAAAGAAAGAAATAGCTAACAAAACAAAAACAAACATATAAAAAGAAAAGAAACTCCAAAAATATAAAAAGGGAAGGAATGCTGGGAAAGGAGGAATCTCCTAACCTCAGACTATAACAACATCTAAGCATAAGCACAAGAAATGACCAAGGGTCCAGGGAGGTACAAACAAACAAACAAACAAACAAACACACACACACACACACACAGAGAGAGAGAGAGAGAGAGAGAGAGAGAGAGAGAGATGCCATCCATTTGCAACATCCTGAAGTACAGTACTGGAGTTGTAGTCCTCAAGCTATTGATTAATGTTGTTGTTTACTCATTAAGTCATGTCCAACTCTTTGTGACCCCATGGACCAGAGCACGCCAGGCCCTCCTGTCTTTCACAGCCTCCTGAAGTTGGGTCAAATTCATGTTGGTAGGTTTGATGACACGGTCCATCCATTTCATCCTCTGTCGTCTCCTTCTCCTCTTGCCTTCACACTTTCCCAACATTAGGGTCTTTTCCAGGGAGATTTCTCTTCTCATGAGCTGGCCAAAGTACTGGAGCCTCAGCTTCAGGATTTGTCCTTCCAGTGGCCACTCAGGGTTGATTTCCTTCAAAATCGATAGGTTTGTTCTCCTTGCAGTCAAGGGGACTCTCAAGAGGCTCCTCCACCACCACAATTCAAAAGCATCAATTCTTTGGCGGTCAGCCTTCTTTATGGTCCTTGATTAATACAAGGTAGCTAAGAGCCATTTATATTTCCATTGTTGCAGTACCAATTGTTTAGCCACAACAGGGACAGGTAATGGAGGATCCATTACCACAGTTTTAATATGCCCAAGAATCATAGGACATAGCACTGAAGATTTTCCTACAGACATCCACTCCATGTCCTGTTACTAATTAGAAATAGTGGGGAGAGGAGCAGAGTAAAGTATTCCCGCTAGTGTCAAACACAACATAAAAAAACTGTGTGGCTCTAGACATTCAACTGCAGAGTTATCAGATAAGATGGCAAGTAACCCATAATGCTTCTGGATTATGCAAAGGGGAGGGAAGTATATATCTATTTCAAGCCACAGTAGTGTATTGCATCCACATATTGTGATATATTCAGTTACAAATAGGCTCAAGTTAATCATGGGCTATGACTGTGGTAATTCATTGCACAATATATCTATTTTTAAAGTTTTATAACTCCTTATTCTGTTTGTTTTTTTCTTACTACACAACAAGGGTAGGCAAACTTGGCTGGTCTGGAGGCCAATTTTCTACTCTCAGAATTCTTCAGGGGCTTCAAGGACCACCAAAAATTAAAAACAGAAGTAAAAGTGGCTAGATGTCTATGTTCATCTATGTCCAAAAATAAACAGTAAACTGGTAAAAAAAAAGTGTGCTGAAAAATATGTTGGCTTCTGCAACACATTTAAAAGATGAATCCACTTCTAAAGGCTTCTGGGAGGCTCTGTGTGCCTGTTTTTTTTCTGTTGCTTT